AAAAAAAGAATAAGTGATTCAGAAACAAACCCTCATTATTTATGGTCAATTGATTTTTGACATGTGTGCCAAGACAATTCTATAGGGAAAAACTAAGGGAAGATCTGTCTTTTCAAAGAATGGTGCTAGGACAACTGAATATCCATACATCTAAAATAATGATGCTAGGCTCCCTCTCTGCACCATAAACAAATCTTAACTGGATCATACACCTAAATATAAAAGCTAAAATTATAGAACTAGAAGAAAACATTAGGAGTTAACCTTTGTCATCTCGGGTTAGGCAAAGCCTTCTTAGACACAATACCAAAAAAAAAAAAAATGTAGATAAATTAGACCTCATCAAAATTAAAAATGTCCGTTCCTGGCTCAGCACCTGTAGCTCAACGGCTAAGGCACCAGTCGCATACACGGGAGCTGGCAGGTTCAAATCTAGCCCAGGCTTGCCAAAACAACAATGATAACTACAACCAAAAAATAGCCAGACGTTGTGGCGGATTCCTGTAGTCCCAGCTACCTAGGAGGCTGAGGCAAGAGAATCACTTAAACCCAAGAGTTGGAAGTTGCTGTGAGCTGTGATGCCACAGCACCCTACCGAGGGTGACAGCTTAAGACTGTCTCAAAAAACAAAACAAAAAACAAAAAAAAAAAGTCTGTGCTTCAAAGGAGACTATCAAGATAGTGAAAAGACAATTACAAAATGGGAGAAAATATTTCCAAATTATGTATCTGACAAGAGACTTACATCCAAAATACATAAAGAACTCTTACCACTCAAAAAGACAACCCAGACTGAAAAGTAAATTAGTTCTTTCCAGGAATCATGGGGTAAGGGAAATGGCAATGGCTGGGAAGGAGTACAGGGATTCTGAGGTGCTAAAAATGTTATGGAATTAGATAATGGTGATGAATGCACAACTATGAATATACTAAAACCAATGATATGTGAATTATAATAGGATGAACCTCATAATATGCTGAAAGAGCCTAGATCACTTAAAAAGAGTACCTATTGTATGACCACATTTATATGAACTTCTAGGAAAGTAAGCTAAGCTATAGCAATAGACAGCAGAAAGTGTTTTCTTGGGGACAAAGGGAAGGAAAGGATGTTTTCAAGGGGCAAAGAGAAACTTGTGAAGATAACAGACATGTTTGTTATGGGGTACTGCTTTCCCACCTGCATACATATGTCAAAACATGATGAACTATAGAAATTAAGTGCTCGGTGCTTATAGCTCAAGTGGCTATAGTGCCAGCCACATATACCAGAGTTGGTGGGTTCAAATCCAGCCCAGGCCTGCCAAACAACAATGATAACTACAATCAAAAAATAGCTGGGCGTTGTGGCAGGCACCTGTAGTCCCAGCTACTTCGGAGGCTGAGGCAAGAGAATTGCTTAAGCCTAGGAGTTGGAGGTTGCTGTGAGCTCTGATGCCACAGCACTCTAACCAGGCTGTCTCAAAAAAAAGAAATTAAGTATGGGCACTTTTTTATTATGACAGTTACACCACAATAAAGCTGTGAAGAAAGTTTTAAAAACTCAATTAAAGGTTCGGCGCCTGTAGCTCAAGTGGCTAAGGCGCCAGCCACATACACCTAAGGTGGCAGGTTCGAATCCAGCCCCAGCCCACCAAACAACAACGATGGCTACAACCA